TACCCTGTAAACATTATTAATAAATTAGCATTCATTATTAAATTATTATTATTATTATTATAAATTATGTAATCTCATGCAGAACAACAATTAACAGTTAGCTGTATATTTGCCAAACTTATATATATTACTCATTTGTGCACAGGGTCTGAAAGGTACATGTAGTTAATTACCAACTTGTGAGGCAAGGCTTCCTGTGATGTCCAGGCTTAAAAAGGTAATTAAAGGTACTTACTATTCAAAGGGTACTTTAGGTTTTTGTTTTTACTGTTAAATTTCTTTGTCCTAAACCTGATTCTTAACCTGTTTTGGTTAACAGCTAGATGCAGATAATTGTTAATTTAGGGATGTCACTAAGATTTCAAGTTGTCGGGTAAATACAACAAGTAGGCGGGGGAATCAAACTGCTAGGGATTTCTTTTGGTCCTATTTTTCTTCTATTTTCCTATGAAAGTAGCCGGGAGCCGCATTCATAGTAGCCAGGGAAATCCCTAACCCCCGCCCCTTAATGACAGCCCTGTTAATTTCCCACTCTTTTGCCCGTGAAAGCACTGAGCATCTGACAGGATGTGAAAAAAAATATGAAAATTTGGTGGCAATGTTAAGACATACTATGCAGAAAATAGCCTCACACTGTAAATTGATTTGCAGTCAAATTGACAAAACTGTGAGTTGCACTAAAATTATTTTCTGGAATGTTATTATGCTGCAAGAAAAAAATTCAGTCAGGGGTGAGCAACTAATATATGTTTGTGGTTTTGAATTCGCTTAAAGCTTGTGTTACTGCCAGCTGATCTTTGCTGTGATTGCTCATAACATAGTAATGATATCTGAAATATATTAAGTGTTCACAGTTTTGTCGGTTTGACTGTAAATTATTTCTTATCAATTGACTCCCACTGACTACAGTAGAATGCCTATCAGAGTTGTCCAGAAAAATTAGAGAGGAAGAAAAAATTAAGAAGGGGGCAATGATAGGACTAGAATAAAAGGTATTAATAGAGGGAGTCTTAAGACTTTCCTGGGAAAAATTCGGGGCATTCTGAAAAGTGTATTTAATTTGGAGCCGTCATCGTGCATGAAAGCATTTTTTTTAGCTGTAAGGACAGGCACCTTTATTTACCCACAAATATATCTGTCTGGATTTGCTAAAACATGGCTAAAGAAATTTCAAGTGCATTTTCACAATTTCACATCCAAGTCAAATAAAAATTAGTGCCTAAAAGTTACTAGCTGAGGCTTTTTGATAACAATGACAAATTTATTATTGCTGGTAACAGACAACAAATTTCTCTCGGAGAAGTAACAGGATTTTGCGATGAAATAAACAACATTATTTGAAATGTCCAGAAATTATAACCTTTTAGTCAGTCAAACTGTGAGGCCCATAGCTAAGTGCCTGCCAAAAACAGATTAAGAAGCCATTAATCTTTGAGCACAGAATTGGCTTTCTAAGACAAAATCACGTAAACTAAACACTCATGAAGTGTTTTTGTGCTTGGCAGTATTCTGGTAACACGAGCTCAACCACACACCTTCGTTTTGTCTGTCAACGTCTTCACCAAATCACACAATAAATCACTTTCCCAGCAATCACAATTAACACTCCCAAAAACCACTCATAATATTTCCACATTTGACATGGGTGAAACATAATGAAATAACTCGGAAAAACCCTAACTTTCTCCACATAAAACATCGCATGGAAACTTTTAGAACTCGACTCACACAATCAATATAGGGCTTTGGCTTCAGGTCAGAAATGAGCATAAATTTCCATTTCCCCAAATAGATTTCACTTCAAGAACTTACTTTCTGAGGCCAATGACTTTTTACTGCCAACAACGAAGCTTGCATTTTCCTGATGTATTTTTATTACTATTTTTGACCCCTAAATAACAATTTGCTCAAATCTCCATACAAACCTTTAGAATATTCTGCTACACAACAGGCAGGTACAAAAGTTGGACCAGATCAACTCGGACCACCAGTCCGGGTCAGATCAACTCGGATTGACTTGGACCAACTCGGATCGAATAAAAAAATAAAAATAAAATAAAATTGGACTCGGATCAACTCAGATCATAAATAAAAAACAACTCGGATTATAAAAAGAAAAATAAAATCAGTCGTTATCACTTAACTTTCACCCGCCATTTTTTTTTTTCTCACGAACTCGTGGTTGCGTAAATTAATTTTATTTTTATTTTTATTAATTTTAATGACACACTAGTGAGCAGCACACATGTATACACTTCCAGTGAACAGTTTCAACTTGGAAGGAGGAGAAAACATGCTAGCCCAGGACAACGAAAATATTCGTACCCCGGCAAGAATTGAACTCATGACCCTCCGAATACTACAAGTTTATCGGACATTCCAACCACTAAACCGGAGGGTCGCGAGTTCAAGTCTTGCCCGGGGCATGGAAATTTCCTTTGTCCCGGGCGAGCTTGGTTTCTCCTCCTTCCAAGCTGAAAATGTTCACTGGAAATGTATGTGTGCTGCTCACTAGTGTATCATTAAAATTAAGTTTCAGAAGTCCTGCAGAAAAAAAACAAACAGGAACAAACAAACAAACACTCTTTGGTAACTATGTAAATGTGATCAACAGACCAGGCTTTTGATGCTTTTCTCATAAATAATTCAGTAGACTTATTAATCAAAAATTATGTGCATCACTTATTATCATGCTCACCTCAACTTCTTTGCTTTGTGACAAAAAGCTGCAATAAAATAAAAAAAAAATAAGCAAATATATATTCTAGGCGACTGAAACTATCATTTTCTTGGAATGAAGCAAATTCATTGAGAAAGATGGTTGAGATTTTACCTTCCCCAAGGTCATCCATATCTGTGAAGCAGAGCTTGTTGTGTTACGCAACCACAACCACGAGTTTATATCATGATCCGAGAGGAACTGGCACTAGTAAAACAAAATGGCGCCTGAAAGCCACGGAGAAAAAAAGGATGATCTGGCCTTTTTTCCCTCCAAATGGGTTAAACTTTCAGTTTTGCTGATTTAATTTAATTTTTTTGATTGCTTCGAGTTGATGCGAGTCCAATTTTATTTTATTTTTATTTTTTTATCCGATCCGAGTCGATCTGAGTTGATCTGACCCGGACTAGCGGTCCGAGTTGATCCGGTCCGACTTTTGTACCTGCCTCTACACAACAGCTATTCTTGCTCATGAGCTTGAAGCACCTGTGCTGCTACTGGATCTTAGTTTGAATTTGCAAAGTTACTCAGGTGTTTCTCACTGGAATCAAATGTTGAGTAGATAGAGTTTGTTATTTTTTAGAGCAGAAATTTTCTTCATATGTGAGAAAAGTTGGAAGATTACTCAAAGCCCAAACAAAGGTTTTAGATTCTCGCAACAATTGAGTATTGAGAGTATAGACAGCAAATTACTTAATTACTTAAGGCCTGGTTCCGGTTTGATGAGTCTCGCAGGAATCGAGAGGCAATCAAGAATCGTTTTTTTTGTCAACTTACTTTTGAATGGTACTGTACAACAGATTTATTAATCCCCTTAGAAAAATAGTTTGTTTGAGTAGCCTGTGCTTCTGTGATGACTCAGTAGACTGTGATATTAGCCCTGCTTACCAAATTTTTTGGAACCCTGTGCCAATGATTTTGTCCAAACAAAATCTGAGTAACAACAAAACTAGTTTCTGGTCCCATTGATGTTTTTTAACCATTTTCACTTCAAATGAAACAGTGTGTTTTGGTCAATGTTTAGACAAAAAACTGGATCATTTAAATTTTATCCCTCTGAGAAAGAAATTCAGCTTAAACTCATCAGCAAAGATGAACTTGGGGGAAGGTGCCCAAAAGAACCAAAGCCGAGAGCAATGCGTGACCGTGACCTGTGAGTGGCAACCACCCAGGCACCATGACACTGCTTACCAGTGGAACCTAGAATACCTTTGGGCAGCGAAGGGAGCAAAACAGACCAAGAAGCACAAGCAACAAGAAGCAATGCAAACATAATGGACTGACCTCAGCTGAAAAGCTGTAAAACCCAATGGTTCCTTCGTAACCCTAGAGCGCCCCTCAAAATCACAAGTGAGAGACTGCTTGCCAGCATTATCTCAAGTTTAACTCAGTAATTTTGTTACCTCTGCGTCCTGCATCCCTGATGCATAAAAATCCCCAAAGACGCAAAATAATTCATGTCATGCGTCCTGTAAGATGCAAAGATAATGGCAATCGAACATGTGTTTGTAGAAATATCCTGTTCTTGTAATTTCTGTGGCAGTTATTATAGCCGTTGTTTAACAATGAATTATTTCTTTTAGCCTTTGTTGTGCTTAATAAAAAGAGAAGGACTATATTTTAATTTCAGTATACTGTAATACAGAGTTTTGGAGTCTGTCTTCAGATTAACTGTCTCATTTCAATCAAAGGCCCAAGCATTTCATCTTCAGACTTGTTTCTTTTTTTTTTAACTGGGACTCATTGGTTCCTGGACCGGGAATCCTGATTTTTACAAGATGAGTCCTGCAGGACTCACCATAACTATTTGTAACAAAGTCACTGTTAACTTAGCCTAAATTTCATTTAGCCACAATAGTCATTTATTTTTTCCATTGTAAGTTTGGCAACTTTGTTAGTTTTATGCAGGAAATTTCTCCGAATATGCAGAACATGCAGACAACAGATAATTATGTGGACGTTCCACACCACCGCATCCTTTCTATTTAATTTTAAAGTATTCTTATGTATGATATTAATGAGCACATATGCAAACCAAAGAAAGTAAAAGTTAAACACATCCCACAATTTTAGTACATTGTATTGTATTGTTGTTATAAATTTTGTTTTTTGAAAATTGAATTGCTATAATATTTTCCTTTTTAGGATTCATCCTTTACTAGCTTGGCTTCTACATCACAGGAATGCCATGAAAGCAATACTAGTTCCACTTCCAGCAGGAAATTGAGAGTAACTCTGTTAAGCAGTGAATGGAGGTCAACAAAAGGAGGCTTGTCAACCATCAACCGAGAGCTGGCCATTCAGTTAGCAAAACATCCCAGAGTGGAGGTCAGTGTTTATCTCCCTGAGTGCAGTGAAGAAGATAAACAAGTGGCTGCAAGTCACAATGTTCATCTCATTGAAGCAGAAGAAATGGCAGGTTATGACCCAGTTGACTGGTTGTCCTTTCTACCAGAAGACCATGTTGTGGACTGTGTGATAGGACATGGGGCCGTTCTTGGCCGGCAAGTGCAGGGTATAAAACGTGATCGTCCTCACTGTAAGTGGATTCAGGTCGTCCACACTGCTCCAGAAGAACTTGGAATGTACAAAGGATATGAAAAATGCATTTCCAGAGGTGAGAAGAAGCACCAAGTGGAGGTTGAACTCTGCAAATTAGCTGATCAAGTTGTAGCAGTTGGACCCAAGCTGGCTGAAGCTTTTTCAGGTTATCTTCGTCCATCCGGAAAGGATCAACATGTTTTCAAACTTACGCCAGGCATTTTCTCCGAGTTTGCTGCTGTTAATCAAGCCACTGAAGAAAGGAACTCATTCAGTGTTTTAGTGTTTGGGCGTGGCGATAATGAAGACTTCCAGCTGAAAGGATATGACATTGCTGCCCAAGCCATTGCTGAGTTGAAAGACATGACTTACAAACTTGTGTTTGTAGGAGCAACAAGTGGTGAAGAAGAGAAAGTAGCAGAAATGTTACTCCAGCAAGGCATTGACCGCAGTCAACTCAGGGTGCGTTGTTTTAATGAAAGCAGGGAGAAGCTAGCTGAATTATTTTGTGAAGTAGATCTTGCTGTAATGCCATCACGAACTGAGGGCTTTGGTCTAGCTGCCCTTGAGGCTTTGTCTGCTGGTCTACCTGTGCTGGTCAGTGGGAACTCTGGATTTGGAGAAGCTTTGAGGAAAGTTCCGCATGGTTCAAGCTGTGTGGTAGAGTCAGAAGATCCTAAAGATTGGGCAAATGCGATCAAAGCTGTCCGTCAGAAAGGCAGGGAGATGCGTCTTGGAGAGTCTGAAGTGGTGCATGGAGCATATTCAAAAAAGTACAGCTGGAAGAAACAGTGCGATAAACTCATAGAGAGGATGATCGAGATGAGTATCACTGAAGCAGGTAAGAAGTGCACCTGTAGTTACTCACTAAATGCATTTATCATAAGATGGCTAAATTGAATATTATTCAGACAGTGTATGTACATGTATATAAAGGCAAAGACTTGCCAACAGTCTTCTCAGAAAGGCTCACATGTGCTGCCGTGCCCTAAAACATGGCAGGTCCAAAGGTTTTACTGGTTTTATGTTTCTCACATGAGTAAATTGTCAGGGTGGATAGTCAAGCCACTCACAAAATTTGAGACCATTCTTATTTAGGGTGTGCCACTGGTCCCTGGCTCCCCCACACCGTAATCAAGGCTGTGCTCTAAGGACAGTTAAAAGGAGCCTGGTGCTCTGAACTTGAAAAATCTAGGGAGCTCAGCATATGATTTGTATGAAAAGACTAAGATTTTCTTGTTGCCCTAAGAGAAAATATTGGGCACCTGGAAGGCCACCGGGCTCTGCTAGAGCACAGCCCTGGTAATCATCTGGGCCCAGTTCCTGAAAGGCTGATTAGTGCTTATCCAGGATTAAAATTTCATTCTATTTTTGTATTTATTTTTACCTTCCTGTGTATTGCTTAGGGTAACATTTTGTGTTATCATTACTGTTTTTCAGAGTAAAGGTTCAACAGTAATATTATTGTAACCTTGACTTACTTGTTTGTAGACAAGAAAACCTTGCTCAAAATTTGGCGTATTCCAATCCTGGGTTAAACTTAATCATCTTTCGAGGAACCGGCTCATGGCTCTTACTGCACCACTGATTTATTTTGCAGCCATGCACCCACATGAATTGTATACACTTCACATTAGGCTGGTGTAACAGCCTGCAAAACTAGATTTTCCAAAATCCTTTATAATTATGACTTTTGAACCAGCTTTGAGTATTTTATTTTTTCATTTCTTTCTCTTCCTTGCATCAGAGGGCAGTGATGGTAAGCTTACCACTGGTCTCCATTTTTCTTCCGCGAATGCTCCAAGCACCTCAAATAACCATGGTAAGGACTCTCCTGAACTGGATAAAGTTCTTCCATCCTTGGCTGACGTTAAAGCAGTAACCAAACCATCAAAAGATGCTGATCTTCCTGTTGATGTTCTGTTACTTACAGTTACAAACTGTGAGTTCTTAGCTTGCTATAGCGACCTAAAAAACCCCTATAGACGTTGGTTTGATGGTCTGGGCTATGTTTACTTTTCTGATGTGGGTGAAAGTCAAGAGGAGCTGAAAGTTGCTTTACTAAGATGTTACAGAAATGGTATTGGTCCTGGTGGAGCTCTTGTATCTGTAAAGAATGCTACCTCTGTGCTAAGACCCAAAGCAGTCATTTCAGTAGGAACATGTAGTGGCCTCAACCCTGCAAAATCCAAGTTAGGAGATGTTGTTGTATCTGCCAAAATAGCTACATATGCATCAAAGGCAGTGACCAGCAATCAAGAGCAGTCAACTGGCATGAGAAGTTATGTGAGCAAACGCTTTCTGGATGTCATTAAGAATTGTGCTGATGGCTGGCAAGCACCTTTGAAGAACGCTGAAGCTCAGCAAGTTCAAGTTTATACTGATGCTGAGTTTTTGAGTGGACCGGAACAAGTCAGAGCTGAATGGCGGCATGATCAACTTGCTGAAACCAATCCTAAGGCAATGGCAATCGAAAATGAAGGAGAAGGTGAGCAGACTTTTTAATATGCAGCCAGCCTTAGGAAGTGTATGCAGTCCGGTCTCTTTTGACTCTATAGATGTGCTGGTTGCTTTTGATTCAGTGTTAATTTCAAGGCATTGCGTTGATTGTTTGCTTGTTTGAGCTTAATATTATCATAATTTTTTGCTGAAATGATGGGCGTGCTCCCAATTTATGGGTCATCATTGCTTAGTTGTTAGAGCACTGTCATGCTAACACGGAGGTCATGGGTTCAAATTCCCTTGAACCCTCTCCCCCTTAATTTTTTTTTCAGGTAATTTGCAATCATTGCTTAGATTGCTGTTACAATTGTTACAACAATTATATCTGCAAATTATACCCATTGACAAAAGATAGGTGTGGGAAAGGTGCCTGGTGAAACTGAAGGGGCGGGGGCGGGGGCGGGGGGCAAGCACGTCTAGAAAGTAGCCATGACAACCCTATGAGTGGGACCGAGCAGGCACTGTCACACTGAGACCTTTAGTGGAGAAATGTGCAGATACTTACCAAAACATATCCAAAGGGAAGGAAGGACTGCGAGCAAAAAATTCAAAAGCAACATACCAACATGAGCAAAATGATTGACTATAGGGAAAGTACTGTAAAATAATGCTAAAGCCCAAGACTGCCCCATATTCGATTGGTGATGGAGACCGCTGTATGGCGTACATTTGCGGACAAAAATAATTGAAAATAAAATACAATTTGAAGTTCAAAAATTAGACTATCCATGTCAAAATCTCGTCATATGAATTTGAAATCGCAATGAACGGAGTCGAAATCATTCGAACTTGAAGTTACTTTGAACAAGTTGAAACTATAAAGGGAAAACTCGACATCGTTGATGTTGAAGTTCAAATCACCATTCCAACTAGAATGCAAATTACATGATTTGAACTTCAATTCACCTTCTCCACTTTAATAAGCCACTTAATCGTCAAAAATGCAACCATAATCTTTCACAAAATTCCAAATGGAACCTTTAATTTTAACTTAAAGTCACGTCACATATTCGAATTCCAAAAAACAAAATTTCAATTTCAAAGGAAGCGGAAGTAAAAATACACAAGAACCGAGTAACGACTAGGTACGACAGTGATAAAAGTGTTGACAAGCCTACACGACTCCTGCAGTTCGCGGATGAATAAATTCTAATGAAGCCTTCATAGCTTAGCTTTAACTAGGATGTCCTTAAGGGATTTTCCCTTACGATATGAGATGATGGGGGGCTCCTTAAAGATTTCTCTCAGTTGCGGATGATTTTCTATAAGGTGCCATGGATAGTCTCAGTGGGGAAGGTGCATGGTGAAACTGAAAGGAGCCGCAAGTGAGCCTGGAAGGTAACCATGACAACCCTGTGAGTGGCACCCACCCAAACCAATCTACAGGTGCTTGAAGAAAAAAAAGGGGACAGCGAACAGGGGAGTCACAGGACATGGTTTCCCCTTTTTTTCCCGTTTTCCCTTGCAATAAAAACTAAAGAAAAGCAGTTCACTACTGAAGATGAATAGAAGTCCTAATACCTGCCTGAAGCATGTCCGCGAGAGAAAATTAAAGTGCAAGCCTTCCATAACCTCAATGCAACCTGACACAACTGGGGAGGAGGCGGTACAGTTCACATCCTCTACATTCTACATCTGTCTTCCAACTTTTTTTTTCTTTTTTATAGAAAGTTAGGCAAAATAATGTAAACTATATTGATGTAGGACTGACTTCAACATTAACTCAAGTGCCATTTTCTTTGTTGCTCTATAGGAGTGTTTGCAGCGGCATTTGACTGTCAAATTGAGTGGTTAATTGTGAAAGGGATAGCTGATTATGCAGATGGTTCTCAGTTGCCTTCAGAGAGTTGGTCTTCCTGTGCCAGTGTGATGGCAGCATCTCTTGTTGCACACATTTTGAGTGAGCCCTGTGTTTTTCATTCATGGCCTCATTACCAAGGTAAATATTTCTTGTAATGTTATGTCCCTTTTTGGCATGTTGTTTTACGGAAACTAGGGGTGCATTACAGTGTACTTCCTTTATGCCATAGTAAGCTCAACACTGCATTATGGGGTAGATGCCACACATGACATCTTTTTGTCTTTATAACAGCTTTTTAATTAGATTTGATCATATTGGTGTTGATATAACAATAAGACTACTGTAACCGGGGCCACTTAGACAAAGTTGGCCAAACACATTACAGGAAAATAACAATACATTCCTAAGAAAGTTGGTTGTGGGCCAATCAGCAGCTTGCAAAAAACAATAATTTATTTGAAGCACAAAATTTAAATATTGAGAGCAAACGTTTTGAAAAACGCAAAATGTTTCACCAGACAATGTTTTTCTATTCAAAACTTTACGTACTGTACATGTATAACTCCCAGGAGACATACTTGTTTGACACAAGGTGATATTTTGTCATCTACAAGACACTTCTTTGCAAGCATCGCTTTGCAAGGATTTTCGACCTCAAGTCAAAATTATAACTGTTTACATTTTTTGCCTCCTTCACACACTTTATGGGACCTCTCAGGAAACACAGGCTTTCTTCAGTGGGTTCAAAAGGTTACGTCTGTTGGTTGTGATTTGTTGATTTCGATCCATGCTGTTTATTTCATTTCTTTGTAATTATGATTGACAACTAACTTTCTCGGAATGTATTGTTATTTTCCTGTAATCTGATTGGTCAGCTTTGTCCAGGTAGCCCCGGTTATAGTAGTCGTATTGTAATTGTTATGGTTTCTTTAAGGAACCTGCAAACGGTAAGAACATTGAAGAAATCTCTTGTCATTTTAAACCAAAAAGAGATTGAAGTAAAATCATGAAACAACAAAAAAGTTTTGGATTCAGTTGTGAAATAGGGTTTAGATTAGAAGAACCTTCTAAGGTCTAACACCCACCACCAAGTGTTCTTAGCCGATGAGTCTGTTTTTTCCAGCAGTCGTATTGAGCTGACCACATAGCTATATTTTCTTTTTTAGTGTTAAAACTACACCTGTCTGATAGGCACTGCTGACTTTATTAGTAGCCGTTAATTCTAGTAGATTTCTTGAATGTAAGTGAGAGATCTCTTTATGTTACAGATATATCAGAGCAGAGCTCAGCCAGCAGATCAAAGGAACAATTACCAAGTTTCTCAGGTGCCGATATTTAGGCCCTGTCCAAACAAATCCGGATATTTTTGAAACGACATATTTTTCTACTTGAATAGGCCGCGGATGAATGATCGGATTCACTGGTTTAGTGTTGAGGGAAGGCCATTTTGTGAGAAAGGAAATGTGCGGTTTCAGAAATATCCAGATTCACGTAGACAGAGGCCTTAATGTTTAATGTTACATTGTACATGTAATCAATACAATAAATTATGTTACGATAAGATACATTTCCATTCATTTTCCTTTGCTCTTGGATTTTTCCCTCTTGTTTCTTGTTTTCTTGTTTTCTTTCTCTTTTTTCTCCTGATTTTGGTTTTAATTTTTTTGTTTTGGTTTTTTCTTATGTTGGTTAATGTTTTTGGAACTCTCGTATCAGGGTTGTTGCGTATTTTAGCTAATAATTAGGCAAAAATTTTTCGTCCTTAAGGGGGCGATAATTCGAAAGGGGGCACTTACATATATTTGAAGGAGGGTGCTAATTCGAACGTTTACGGTACATGTCTGCCGTTTGATTAAAAAAGACCCTCTTCCCTCTCCTCAGTTAAATACTCTTGTCTAATTAGCTGCTATTTGCACTCTGTTCCTTGGCTTAATTGTGAAATGGATAAGGTTTTCCCACCCTAAGTCTGAGCAACAGATTTATAGTACAAAACAGCAACAACAACACAGCTTCTAAAGCCAGATGTAACGTCAATGAGCAAGTTCCAATAATCATGACATTTTGATATTTAATACTAAATTAGAAGGGGAGGTCAGTACAATGTAAACTAACGATAGTATAAAAGTTTTGAAATCTACATCTATATCTCAAAAATTGTTGAACAAGTCAGCCTTGCAACAGAAGGTTGTTAAGAAAACCGCTGGACAGATGTAAAACTTGGTAATAAGCTTAACGCATGCAGAATCATGCGTCTTGCTGCAGTGTTACCCTGCTTAGGCCCTGTTTTCAATTCTTGAGAGAACATATCCACGCTCAGATGAAAATGACCGTACTAGGTAAACTGCCATTATCACTGCTACCATAACACTGTACAATTAACTCAGTCCTACATGTACTACTCCATGTGTTGGATAGGATAAAGGATTTAAGAAAATTGCTTTTTTTATAAACAGATGCTTCAACGGCCTTTTTGAAGTGGAGTCAAAGTCAGCTTTGCTCATTCTACAACAGTACCGCGAGCCAGTTAATGATTACTCCTTGGGACCAGGATAACACCATGGACATTGATGAGGTGTATGTACAATTAACACTGCTGAGAGATAACAGAAAACTTGCTGGAACAACTAAAGAAAAGCTTAAAGATTATAGCGAGATATTTGCAAGCCATGGTCATCACCTAATTCCTAAGAGAATTTTAGTTTACGGGAGACCAGGAATAGGAAAGTCGACGTTCACTAAGAAACTCGTCGTGGACTGGTCACGTGGTAACAAAGAAAGCCTAGAGAAATTTGCTGTTGTACTTTTAATCAAGCTCCGAGATGTTTGCAACAGGCAAGATTTCTGTGACATGCTACAAAAGGCCGAACTGTTGTCCGCTGATGACCCTATGGTGTTTGGCCAGTTGTATGATTACATCCTTCGTAACCAACAGAAAGTCCTACTTATTTTAGACGGCTATGATGAATACAGCGCCGAAAAATCATCGCCAGTTCATCAGATTTGGAAAGGCAGTCTGTTGAGAGATTGTACTCTTCTTGTGACAACTCGACCGCTGAAAAACGATGAGTTAAGACCAGGAAGTCATGCTCAGTTTGAAATTTGTGGGTTTGATCGGTGGCAAGTTGAAAGGTTTGCACTTAAGTTTCTTCGCGACCAAACAGAAGTAGACGAGTTTGTATATTTTTTGTATGAACGGGACCTGTGGGACTTGGCGGAAATACCACTCCTCCTGTTAATGTTGGTTCTAAGCTGCAATAAATATCAAGAACCATCAACATCTCGCCGCGCAAATGTGTATAAAAGTTTTTGTCAGACGCTACTTGACCACGTCTCCGCCAAAACCTCAGATGAGACATTTAGAAGCATGGATGAATACAAGGAAGACCTCGCAAAGTTGGGAGAACTTGCATGGGACGCACTTTTAAATGGCCGTCTATACTTCAAGCTCAGCAACCTTCCTGAGTACATTCGGTTGCTCATTGTAAAGTTTATCGATTTTGGCTTTGTACAAACATCCAATCTTTCTAACTCTCCTCGTCCTGAGAAACTGGCGTTCTTTCTTCATAAATCGGTACAAGAATTTCTTTCTGCATTATTTATTGTTCGCGATTTGAAGAATGCAAAGGAAGCTTTCGACTGTCTGTCGAAAGTCGACTCATTTGAACCATTCAAGGAGCTATTTGAAGTTTTTAAATTTGTTTCTCAGTTGTCATCAGAAGCTAGCGTTGTTGTTTTTAGCCATCTGAAGATGATAGGAGAAAAAGAAGGTGTGACAGGTGACAACTTCTGCGGTGAAAACCCTTCTGTTAAGGGGCTCACTAAAGAACAAAAAGAGTTTTATAATACCAGTCTCGAATTGTTCCTTTCCTGCCCCGCATCAGAAAGGCAAGCCGTTTATCCTTCATTTCTACAATGCGTTAAGGGTGTTACAGTGATAGATGTTGATGATCACCTGCCTACAGTTGCTAGAGAACTTTGTTTGAGATCAACAAGTTTCCATAAGCCAGATTATGTATTTTTCAAAACTAGGTCTGTACGTGATCTACTACGACATGAGGGTGATCAAATGTTCTCTGTAATGTGCGATTTGGACACCGTTGTTCAAACATGTGATGGTGATGCAAAATTTGTAAATACGTACTACGATCTAAAACCTGATGACTTTGTCGTGAAGAAAGATGGACAGCAATTAGTGTTCTATTTAACTCGCCTTGATTCATTGGGACTTATCGATCGTCTGAAACACGTTGAACTGCTTACTAGATCATTCATATCAGCACCAAAGTCCTCTCTTCAAGAGCCTGATCACGTGTCACAGAATCATGATGTTTGCAGCTCATTGGATTTAACTGAGAAAACATCTGACCAGACTCTGACACACTCTCTGTCATATTTGAGAGAGATAAAAATTTCGGATCCAACAAGTGAACTTCTTAGTATTCTTTATAATCTTCGTCATTTAACTCGCCTAGCTGAGCTTGTTTTAAGTGGTGTTGGTATGGGGAATCAAGAGTGTCAGTTACTTGCCACTGCTTTAAAGTATGTTAATCAGTTACGATTACTTAGGTTATCAAGTAACCCACTCGGTCACGGGATAAGTGGGCTTGCCAAACACCTGCGCAATGTACCTCATCTGGAATGGCTGTGCCTGAATGATACACAGATGGGTGAAGAAGAAGTCACATCTTTAGCCCGTAGTTTGCAGAATGTGACTCAGCTGAGTAAACTTGACTTATCAAACAACCCACTCGGTCACGGGATAAGTGAACTTGCCAAACATCTGCACAGTGTACCTCATCTGAAAGAACTGTACCTGAATGATACACAGATGGGTGAGGAGGAAGTCACAGCTTTAGCCCATAGTTTAAAGAATGTGACTCAGCTGAGTAAACTTCACTTATCAAACAACCCACTCGGTCACGGGATAAGTGAGCTGGCCAAACACCTGCACAATGTACCTCATCTGAAAGAGTTCTACGTCATTGATACACAGATGGGTGAAGAGGAAGTTACAGTTTTAGCCCATAGTTTAAAAAATATGACTCATCTGAGTAAACTTTCCTTATCATACAACCCACTCGGTCACGGAATAAGTGAGTTTGCCAGACATCTTCACAGTGTACCTCAACTGAAAAAGCTGCACCTGTATGTTACACAGATGGGTGAAGAGAAAGTCACAGCTTTAGCCCTTGTACTCGTCTACGTACCAGACCTGAAGCTCCTTTCGCTTGACAGAAATCTGCTAAACCGCGGTGTGACTGAACTAATCAAGTGCCTCAGAAGTAGTCCTCAGCTTCCTGGTCTCTGCCTCACCCAAGTTCAACTGACGAAGAAAGAAGCCACCGAGCTGTCTTCTTTAGCAGGTGAAAGGAACATGTACTTGGAGTCAGATTACCATGTAAGTTTCTCTTTTGTAATTTGCATTATTAATGCTCGTAGTACCCAGGAACTTCCTGGTAGACGAGAATGAACCGTTCCTTAAAGGGGCTGTGTCACTATTTTTATTCATCCTAAAAAAATTCAAAACTTTGTAAAAAGAAACTCTTGTCACATAGTGGTCCTTTCTTGTCAACAATTGCTATTGCGTTATCTTTCTGTAGATGTCCACGTTGGAAATAGATTGCAATATCATATTCCGTCAACAATGATTCTACGTCAATGGACTAAATTGGATTTCAATATCAAATTCAAGTTCTGTTAACGACTACTCTATTAGTGCACTAAAATCATTAATAAGTGGCCGGGATGGTTTTGCTTTCATGTTTGGATTTCCTTAGCGTTTTCTTAAAAAGCCAACTTAAAAAATGAATAGGGTTTGTTCCTGACTATAGAACTTAAATACTATTCAAATCTTGCTCTTGTAACGTTACGGTTAAGCATGTATTTGAGGTTAAAACTCGGGATGATGCGCAGCGATGCAGTGAATATAAGTGACAGTTAACGTTCGGCGGTCCCGTCTGATAACTAACGTACAGTTGGAGAAAAAATAAGGCGAGCGATAATTTGGCTGTGGTACAGACTTAACACTGGATAATATACCGGCTTGTACGAGTTCCCGGATCTCGTACAAGTGAACTTCCTCGCAGACTAGAGGTACAAGGTCGTTGAAATCACTGAGGGGAACTCGTTGGTAACTCATCTCAAGGTAATTAGTATGTGTAATCAAATGGTATACTCGTGAAACTAGGGAATAATTTCGAAATTATTAGGAACTGGACAAAACGCAAGTTAAATTATTTCCTAATTTCACGAGTATACCATTTGATTACCTATCAATATCATGGGTGACGAATTAGGATTGCAATCGTGGATTTTTGACATGTTTATCATTTATCGCATTGATCGGAGAACTCCACGCGCTCCACGTAGAAATCATGCTATTATTTGTTTATACTACTACCCGCAAAAGGTTTGTAATTTTCACGTGTAGTTATTTCAAATTAAGCAGGAATACCACTGCTCTAAGCCATCAAATTACAGAAATTTCTCATGTTTTAGTATAGGTAATAGCATGATTTGTAGTGATATTAGGTATAAATACCACAAATGATATTTCGAAAAAAATTTGAGACAATTTTGAAATATCACGAGTGGTATTTGTACCAAATATCACGGACAAATCATGCCATTATTTGTTTATACCACTACCCGCCAAACGTTTGTAATTTTCACATGTAGGTATTTCAAATTAAGCTGAAATACCACTGCCCTAAGCCAATCAAATTGCAGAAATTTCTCATGTTGTAGTATAAGTGCTGAAATTTCGCGCCAAAATTAAGGAGTAATTTGTCACCCATGATATTTAACAATTATTTCACGATTGCGCTTTGGGTTTGAGTTGGCTAAAGTCGCGAGTATAAAAATTGTTTTATTAAAGACGCCCACAAAATATCGAGAATTCTTCCCGACTTTATTTGTTAAAACAACCGTTTTTCAGCTTGTTGGTAATTTTGAGCAGACTCGAGGCAGACGCGTACAGTTACCATATTTGGAAAGCATGGTATAATAGCTCATATACCATGATGGCTAAGCCAATCAGAGCTCTAGAATTGCATTATGCAATGATTCAGTTTAAAAAAATAATAGTTATATCACTTACAAGTATGCTTATTGTATACTGTTGAAATACAAAAATTAATTTTTGCAAGTCCTCACAACTAAAATTACATCACAGTAGAATAAACAACTAAAACTATCGTACTTGAAAACTCTTAAATTGTTACTCTTTATTGGAATGAAGTTGATGTGAACTGCCTAAAAAATCAAGCGTTTTAAATCCGTTGCTGTTTGTCTTCTTTATTAGACCAAGGTTAATGGTTTGCCCCCTCGCTATCCCCGCCTAGTTACTGAGACAGAACTACAAGAAAAGGGAGTCATATTTGATGAAAAGTGAAAAATGGTACCCTGTGAGAAGAGAAGAGACCTGGACAGTAAATGAACCACCACCATCCGTGCGACAATCATTTAGGTATTCCCGTATTTAAAATATCTCTTTGATATCCCTCTAATTTTAGTATTCCCGCACATTCCGGGCACCCCATAATTTAACTATCCTTGCACTTTGGGTATCCCTCTAATTTATGTATCCCCGCATTTTGGTGTCACCTTAATCTAACTTTTCGCTTATTTTGGTTGTCTCCCGGATTTAGCATTCCACATATTTTGAACCCCCTGCGCTCAAATCCCTGGTGATGTGGGTTAAATCACTGATCCTACGCGTGATGAAAACCGCGGTCGTTCAAACAACCAAACCAACTCTAAAACCATTGAACTTCTTTATAAATGTACTTGTTAGTTATTTAGTTGCGATGTCCTTAAAACAATTGGATTGGATTGTAGCTCTTATCTTATAACCGTCGACAACTAGCTCAACCATAGATCTTCAAACAAAAAAGTTGAAAGTCGTGTTTCAACGAACGGGCGATTGCGATCACATGGAGAAAAACCACCAGCCTTCAAAACATGTAATGTTCCTCATAGACATGCAACATTAATGATTTTTAAACTTGTGCATGCAATGTCATTTTGTGTGCGAACTAATAGCGTAAGGTAATCTTAAAACAATGACACGTGGACATTTTATTCGTCGGAATTCCCGTCCAAGGCACGAAATACAGAGAGTAACTTGCAAGGCAGGCATGATCCAGGCGGGCACATGTCATCGCTCATGCGGCTTACGCTTGCTATTCAGGTTACGCTGCGAAAGATAGTGCCTTCAAAACAGGAACCCAGATGACAAGGGATGTTAGTATCCCGCTAGGGTACTAGGTGATACTCGTAACTCTGACCTGAAATAATGGAAAAACTCACATCACGAGGGATTTGTATACGGAGGTACCCAAAACACAGGGATACCCAAATTACGTTGGAGTACATCAAGAGATTTTTGTAGTTCTTAGCGTACACACTGCATTCGATGCGTAACTATCATGGGTAAAACCAGAAGTCGATCAACCTAAGAATCTATCATTCAAGTAAGGCCTGGGATTTTCACACTTTCTTCGAAAATTTGAATTCCTTGAACTCGCAAGCAAATCGATATTGTACACGATGAACATGAGTGTATGAACACGAACTTATTAACTGTTCATTAGCAGTGACTAAAATCAGTTCAGTGTAAATGTTGACATAACTTGGTGGTCGTACGTTTTGTTGATGTGTCTCGCTGGGACAGTATACACGCTTTCAAGTGCAGGGTGGTTTTATCTATAACAGTTTTAAGAAAATGTGGATTCCATGAACAGGCAAACAAATGAACATTGTACAATACGATGTACTTGCGTTTTAAACTGTACATAATTTGCGTATATACGGTGACGTACTCATAATGCTACATTTTAAATAATGTTAGTTTTTTTTTTGCAAGTAATGCAGATGAGATTATATGTAAAATGTAAAACTACTTTCTGAATTCCAGTTCAGGTTCAGAGTAAATTTGTTGCCTGCACTGTTCATCAGCAGTGACTAATAACAGTTCAGTGTGTTTATTTTGATATTAATCCTGATTTACTTAGCTGTGACAATATTTAGAATGCATCTAGATGCAGCGCAAGTTTCTCAGTTTTATGAAATAAGTAGACACACAATTGACAAAGCGGCATTGTGAAACTGAATATGCGCTTTAAACTATACGTGATTTACGTATACGCAGTAATGTATTTTTGCTAACAATATTAGTTATTGTAGCTGATGCAGATAAAGTTTTGCCATCTGCATTTTTAGTTAGTCTTATTTAGAAAAAATTAAGGTCGCCATCTGGATTCAGATCTCTGTTTGGAAATTTGTTGCTTGTGCTTTTCATTAGCAGTGACTAATAAGAGTTCAGTGTGTTTACTCCGATTGTGCAATACACAGTGATTAATTTATAATAGTACCATGCAAATTTATCATAAAAAATAGTCACTCTCTGGATTCAGATCCAGGTTTTAAGTAAATTTGTTGTATGAACTGTTCATTAGCAGTGACTAATAACAGTTCAGTGTGTTAAATGATATGACTCTCATCATTGTTTTTCGTAAGAGTGATTAACTGAAGCAATATACACGCTTCCAAGTGAAGAGCAAGCTTCCTTTTCACTTATAGCAAAATTGTAATTTCCATGAACTGACAAACATATCAGGAGTGGCGATACAAAGAACATGATCTTTCAACTGTTCTTTATTACATATTCTATAGTGATGTTTCATAATACAAGGATTTAGATTTCGTTTGTGTAAGCGATACAACTGTGATTATTCCTACCTGTCAGTTTACTGAATATTTTCTTAAGTAATTAAGAACGCTTTATGGATTCAGATCCAGGCTCAGAGTAAATTTGTAGATGCACTGTTCATTAGCAGTGATTAACAACAGTTCAGTCTTTTAGCGAAATTACTCCGATCGTTCATTTTGTTATTATAGCTGATTCGCTAGCTGGGGTAATATTAATGCATTTAAGTGCAGGGCAAGTTTTTCAGGCTATTTTCGCATTATACTGGATAGATTGTCGTGCCGACACCAAAAGCTCTCCGGTATATGTGACTTTCCACTTTAGAGATCCTGTCCGCACGGCGCAGCATCGCTCCGTTACTGAAATCGCGCCGAAATCACCGTTCTTATGCGTGAACTAAAGTCTTATCCGGTATGGTTTGGTGCCGGCACAACAGCTATCCGGTAGAGTGAGAACAGTGCACGAGAAACATGCCTTGCTCAAAGTTGCAGGTTAATTGATAAACAATCAGCTCTGTAAATATGATGTACATCATTTAGGTATGTGTAGTGATGTATTTACTAAATTAGATTTAGTTTTATTGTTAACTGGGGTTAGTTTTTGCAGCTTCTACAGTAGATGAGATTTTCCCCATCTGCATTTTAAACTATTTTAAACTTTTAAGATCGCTCTCTAGATTCAGTTCCAGATCAGTTAATTTGTTGCATGAACTGTTCATTAGCAGTGAC